TTAGGGTTCAGGGTGTAGGGGCTTGTCTAATTTGACTAGGGCCTGGGTGTACATAATATCCAAGCTTTTGAGCACGAAATGGGATCAACGGGGGTAAATGTTCAGGTTTCTACATCATAGGGATTGCGGGGATATGTACTGCGCTGCAAGGCTGTTGTGCGGTTGACCCTCCCCAACCAAACATGTAACTCCATACAGCATCCATCTCCAAGGACAGGAGCCTAAATCCTTAAGGTTAGGGCCTCATCCTGGACCCCTAAACCCTTAACTAATCCTAAACCCTAAACCTTAATCGGTTTTGATTAATATGCATAGACCACAATATAGGAAACGCTTCATTATGGGATCCCGGAGAGGAGATTCCATAGTTTTGGGACACCTCCCTATTTGGGGTTTGGGATTTTGAGCTTGTGGGGTTTGTCCTTCGGGACTGTTCGGGCTTATTCGGGCTGAGCACCACCCTCCGTTGCACGTGCATGAGTTTCTGTGCAGGAGCTCGGGGCTTAGGATCTAGGGCTTTAAATTCATCCCCAGGCAGCCCCGAAACGATACCAATGTAACCTTATGAGCCGGATATATCCCTAAGGGTCCAAGGACCCAAATAGTAGGGTTTTAGGGCCCAAATACCATTTGACTCTAAGTGACCGCGGCGGATAAGTCACCTGCTGTGAGAAGCCCCCAGACATTCAAATCTCAATCCTGAATCCTGAACCCAACATCCTGAGTTCTAAGCACCAGGCATTAAGATCTCAGCGCTAATTATTCCTAAGCCCCAAACCTCATATATCCTTATAAGCCAACGAGTTCCATTTCATTTTTCGTTTGCTTGTCCAGTTGTGCATTACATTTTTCATTAGCCAAGGATAGCATAGCAAACAAGACCCTAAATCCCAAACCTAAACGCCTAAAATCTAAACCTTAATCCCCTAGACCCTAAAGCCCGAAAACCGTAAACCTTAACCCCGTAAACCCTAAACCCCTAAAACCTACACCTTAACCCCCTAAAACCCTAAACCCATGAACCAGGACGCCCTGGAGACCTGGCGCGCCTCCTTTCCGGACGCGACTGGGCTGTCGCTGACCCATGTTTCTGCACCTCCACAGGCTCGTGGGGGCTTGAATAGGTGCATGTCCCGATCATGAAGACGAGTTATATTGTATTTGGATCAATGTTAGGGATCCTGTATACTTTTTCAGGTACGGGATTCCTTATACAGATATAAAAGGATCCATTTTTCTTTCTAGGGCAATGTGGGCTAAGGATGGGGGTGCCTCTATTTATTTCAACTGCCATGTACGGCTTCTTCAGGGCCTTTCAGAGACTCAACTTGTTTTTGCTTGATGTAACTTAGGGTGAAGGGCAACGTCGGAGAATTTGAGATCTAACTATTTGAGGTTTAGAGGTTTCTAGGAGGGTGGATCCTTTCATCGGGTGTTAGCTCGCGCTTGAGAGGGCGTTGTCTTTGTCGAGTCCTTCTTTGGGTTGTCGTCGCTCCTGGCACTTTACGGGTAGGGCGTTTATCATGGCTTTCGGTCAGTGTTCACTTGGGCTATAGGTGAGTATGTGTATGGTGCTTTTCAGGGAGCAGATGTATAAATCTTACACTATGTAGCCACAACCTTAAATTTTAAACAAATCCCTAAACCCTAAACCCTACCTAAATTCGACTGAGGAATAAACAGTGGAGGGTCGTACTTTGTGACAGTGGCATGGGTAAGGAGGATTCATGCGTAGAGCCACTTAAAACCAAGACCCGGGCACATGTGCCAACAGCTTGCACCGACCCTGCCTTCCCAACAACAATCGCGAAAATCTCATATATTAATAATAATAATATTATTATTATGAATATTACTATTAATAGTAATATTAATATACATATATTAATAGTGTTATATTAACAGATTATAATATATTTACTATTAATTTTATAAAGTCTCACGAGACAGTCTGGACTCTAGACTGCATGCTTTCGATGTTTGGACCTCTAGGCGTCTCAATCCCATCCTTCAAAATTCTGAACCTGAACTGGGGAGTACAGGGCAAAAGCATGGGAATGTCCTACCTCAAGAACCACCCCTGCCAAAGGACCTCCCAGTTGCTCCAAGCCTGAGACTAGGCCTGAGAAATCGATTCCGCGGGCGCTATACCGCAGGGCCTGCGTGGGGTTCCTCCCATGACTCTGGTTGTTCCGCTGACCTCAGTAGATGAACACTTTTGGGGGTGGGGGTGGGGTGACCTCAATCATGTTGCAACAACACACCCAAGATATATTTAGCATAAGCTCCTGACCCTGAGCCCAGGATAGGATAAGCCTGAATGTTCACCTGGTTGTTAAATGAATGCTATAGCCCTTATTAATTATGGGGAACCCCAAACGGGAACCCGCATTTTCGCCCGCCTTTGCTCCAGCTGTCGAATTGGAACCCTGACAGAGGAGTCCATGCCAGCTGGACAAGGGGATAGCAAATCGACGACTTTGTTCATGGACTTTGGACCTGAGGCGGGGCAAGGTTCTAAACCCTAAGCCCTAAGCCATAGGCCCCTAACCCCTCAACCCTGAGCCGTCAAGCGTGTAGGGTGTTCGGGTCTTGGGTGAGGGTGAGGGGCTCACGGTCCACGGTGTCGGGCTTAGGGCTTGCGGTGTGGGGTTTTGGAGTTTAGGGTTCGAGGGTGAAGGTTGGGGCTCAGGTCCTTCCAAGAAGAAGAAGCGGCCTACGAGGAACATGGTCCTTGACTAGCAGCACTATACTCTGGACTGGAAAAGACTTATAGTCCCCCTTAAGTAGGTAGAATGTGGGGTATACGGGGATCTTATTGTAATATACCGTATACCCAAAGCCGTATTCTATCTACTTAAGGGGGACTCTAAATTGGGTTGGGCACTACAGCATTGAGCCCTTTAACCGGAAATTGAATACCATAGAACCGTAAACCCTAAACCCTAAATCCTGAACCCTAAGCCCCAAACCCTGAACCCTAAACCCTAAATCCTGAACCCTAAACCCTAAACCGACCACGATGAGCCAGAAGACCTTGGAAGCCGCTTAATCTGGGTTGCTGTTAAGGAACCTCAGTTCATTCACCATAATATGGGTATATCGTATAAGGTTTCCGTATTTTAGTAACTTAATCTAAGCTCCTTCACAGAAAGCCCAGTCATATACCCTTACGTGTGTTCTGATATAATGACCCATCCTGGTAGTCAACAACGCAAAACTCTTAACACCAGCCGTTTAATTACGTTCCCTTATCGGCCTTCTTGTACGACATCCCTTCAGGTTACCCCCAAATCAAGGCTATCTAAGGATACATAAGGTTGAAGCTGGTTAAGGAAGAACCTTGTGGGTGTAGCATAACGGGAGAAACTAAAACCGAAACACTGAAGCCTAAACCCTACACCCTGAACCCTAAACCCTGATGCAAGAAATGCCAGGGAGATGGCCCGCAAGCAAACATTGCCTTCGGCCTGCTTTTTCTACCTGCCAAGTGGGCCTCATGGCTGCGATCTTTTCGTTGGAGGTTTTTTGTCCAAGATTTAGATAGGTTGATAGTCTGGTAGGGTTCAGGATTTTTAGAGATTAGGGTTTGTTGAAGCCACACAACCTAAACCCTGCATATACCTCTAAAGCCCCGGTTTCCTTTTCTTGTTGCATGTTCTTTTCAGTTTGAGGGTTTGCTCGAGGGTGGTTGGGATCCAAATGCCAAACCCTAAACCCTAAACCCTAAACCCAAGAACCTGGGGGTTGTTCGGGATCTGACCTTGCGCTTCGGCTTTGACTTGGGTTGAATATGGTCCCCATTGATGGGACATCGAATGGAAAAGGAAATGACAATAGGCGTTTCAAGGGATATCAAGGGAGAGAGCGAGAGAGAGAGAGGTCCTGCTTGGGGCATTGCCCCGGCCCCTTCCCCCGGGAGGGGGTAGAGCAGTGAGAAGAAGAAGAAGAAGAAGAAGAAGAAGAAGAAGAGAGAGAGAGAGAGATATATATATGGGTGGTTGTCAAAATTATGATCCCTTTTTGGGTACCCTAAATACAAGGTGCCGTATTATTATAGGGATCCAAGAAGGGACCATAATTTTGACAACCACTCATACATAGAGGGTTTAAGGCCGCAGGTTTAAGCTTGGAGCTTCTACTCATGGGTTTCAGGTTTGTTTAGGGCTTTAGGTCTTAGGACGTGACATCTACACCGTGGGTTCTGTACATTATGGCATGGCTAGGAATCAGCAAGCTTAGAAGCTATTTTAACCACAAAGAACCCTCAAAGTTGGGTGTAGGACAGTGTAGGATAGGGTTTAGGGTTTAGGGGTTCTGGTGCGGAGTGTATGACGACCAGCAGATATGCTATACGCCGAGTTGCAGAACCCTGTAAATGCTCCGAAGCTCTCAACCACACAGCCCAAATCCTGAACCTTCACCAAAGACCACTAAGCCTAAACTCCAAATGCCAAGCCCAAAACCTTCAGAAGAGATGAACGGGTTGTAGAAAAAGCTCAGAAGGCAACTATAAACCCTATGATCCCTAAACCCCAAACCCTGTAACTCTTTAACTCTAAACCCCATAACCCCTAAACCCTATGCCTCTGACCCCCAAAACCCTGACCCCCACCCTGGATGACTTTGGGCATGAGAGTCGCAAGGTCGACAGGGGTCCAGAACTGCTCCAACAGCTCAAGAAGGAGATTTTTTAGGGATCATGGGGGTTAAGGGTTTAGGGTTTAAGGTTTAGGGTTTAGGGTTTTCAAGGGCTTCCCTCGGACGGGTTTAGGGTAGGGATTGTGGGTTTAGTTTAGGGGTCTAGGGATTTCGGGCTTAGGGATTTAGGGTTTAGTGATTCGGGTTAAGGGATCAGGGTTTAGGGGTTTAGGGGTTTAGGACTTAGGGGTTTAAGGTTTAGGGGGTAGACCTTGGGGACATGGGGATGATATGCAAAGTCCTTGTATTAGGGGCTACATGTACATTCTGTTCAACATTCCCAGGAGGCCACGGAGGTCAAACGCTTCATCCGTGAGCACGAGGCCCCTGATATGAGGTTTGCAGAGTTCGTGACGCCGCAGCGTTTTGCGGAGCTTTTTCCTCTGGCAGCCACTGACCTGCCCTATGCCTGCCGCCAGCTGTGTGAGCCAATCCGTGCATCAGCACATGAAGTTTCCCGCAACCCTCGGGCCAGAGCAGCTCTGCTACATGTCTTGCAGAAGGAGGAGCGTCCTGTTGGCCCCTGTGAGGACTTCGGAGTTCTTGGGATGCGTCCTCGGCCGCTGGGTCAGCAATTCCGGAAACCCGACCCGCTTCCGTTTCACGGGTCAGCACTGAGGCAAGATCCGGACCAAGAGTCAAAAAATACGCTTGCAACATGTGAAAAGAATTACTCACTCGGGCCCGCTATCCAACAAGTATTACTGCCAGTTTGGTGGAAGTGGAGACCTAGCTGAAATGCGATCGAATAGTTAGTCCTCCACGGTCGCAGTCCAACAAAACAGCCGAGCTTCCTAAAGGAAGGATTTTCAAAGATCCCTCAGACGCGACGGATATGAGAGCGCGACAAACCAAGCCCTTTGCAGGCCTTCAGGGCAATTTTGGATAAATTGTGCAAATTGGGATAAGTCTTCTGCGGCTGCGCCGCATACAATCCTGTGGGGCAACGCGCAGTATACTTGGATATTCAGGATAGCTGCTCAATGATAAGTGCAAGTATAGCAAAATTGCAAACCCCTATGTCTCCTAGTATGGTTATACTTGGGTTCTAAGTAATTGGCTTATGATGACCGTAAGCCTACATGACCCCTGGAACACCTAAAAACAAAATTCCTAAGCCCTATCTGTCCCTATATGACCCCTACCCCTTTAAAGGTACCTCTGATGTCGCACCCTGAACCCTAAGCCCTAAATCCTAAAACCTCAGCCCTGAGTCCTCAACCCTCAGCCCTAAACCCTAAGCCGCAAAGCCTAAGCCCTAAACCCTAAGCCGCAAAGCCTAAGCCCTAAAACCTCATCCCGTTTAGGGTTTAGGGTTTAGGGTCCCTAAACTCTATATTTTGGGAAGCCTCCAGGTAAGGGTTGGCTGCTGCCAGGTGGAGGTCGCCTACCTGCTTGCCAGACTCGACGAGAGCCGTGCCCGAATTGCGGGGGTTCATCTTTAAAGGTATAGGGATATCATAGGGATATATATATATATATTTATGGTTATATGGAGATACTATGCGGATATTTTAGGGATAATTTTGGAATATATATATATATACGGTTTAGGGTTTAATGCTTAGGACAAACTTAAGTTGCATCCAGATCAAGAATCTATATGTTGGGTGAAGCACTCTTCCAGCAAGAATGGTATGATAGGATTTATAGCAACTGTACGTAACCAATATACCCCCCATAGGCATTTGTATGCATAACACCAGTGTTTCTCAGTATGCCTGTCTAGAATTGCTGAGCCTGTCAATGTGATCGCAAAATCAGATCCCGTAGATAAGCTCACAATTACTCACAGACAATACCTTGTACATATAGAATTGCCCATATGTCGAATCCTTGGCAATGTGTTTGTGAGATCCCTTTGGGTGTTTGGCTGCTTCAGAAGGTTCAGGCACTTGCAAGACTAGGTAGCTAGTATTGGAATACAGAGAAAAGAAAAGCTGCAATAGAAGCACCATGGGGAAGAGATGGTCTCGTACGAATGCTAAGCATGCATCTGCAACAGCCCACGATCCATTGAATAGGCTGTTGCCCCAATCGCCCACTTCTTGATTGGGAATTTTGGATTTGTTTCGTCTCTGCACAATACCAGACCATGACACTCTATATGCAGATATGATTATGTTCCGGCAGGGAGCCCCATCATATTCCATGTACGACCCTTGTTACTCACCGCAGGACTAGGGTCCTAACCTGGGTTGTCACTCAGTAGGCCGACAATCAAGTTTGTGCTGACCTATTTATCCTCCCTTGAAACTCTATGACTCTATGATGGGTTGCAGCACTGCCCTCTGACATGCTTACTGTAGAAGGCGGGCTATGGTCGAATATGCCCCACAACCCTATTCCACATACTTGGGCCCTTGCACTAGACTTGGTAGTTTCCTGCAAATAGGGGGACCCCAATATAGACCCCCATTCTTTAATCCTTAGTGTAGGGACCCCCAAAAAATATCCCCCCAAATTTTGGGAAACCCCCACTTAGGCCCCTACCACCTCGGTTTTAAGCTGCTGGGTTTCAGCTTCTGAGGACCCCAAGACCTGGACCTGAGCAGGCGAGAACACGGGTTTAGGGTTTAGGGGCTTATCCAACATGGAGGGAACCTCAGGGACCTGCAAAGAGCGTATACGGATACTTGTAGATATATATATATATACAAAAATACATATCCTGGAGGGATTAGGGTTGGGGGTCTTTCAAAAGAGGGCCTAGAGATGTAAGTATACAGGGACTATCTTGGAGAAACGGCCACAGGTGCGATTTTTGGGATCGGTTCCTCATAGGGGGATCCCCGTATTCATTAGCGCTTTTTGGGGGCACTTGATTTTGGAGGGGAAGTTTTGAAGATGTCAGAGTTACTTCGCAGTGCATAATGTTCTATTGTCTCCATAAGGGTTTAGGGGGTTGGGGTTGTTCTTTCTCTATGTAAACGGCTTTTGATAAGTACATAGCACTGCTTACGCCTCCCTTGTAAACGTTTGTACATAGAACGACACCCAAGAAAACATGGAACCAGACCGTATTTAACAAGTCAGGTTTCTAGGACCCGTTTTGGGTTTCCGTATTCTTTCGGCGGAGCAGATGCCATTTCACAACAGGGTGTTGAAACCACGACAAGTTCGCAAGACCCATGACAAAATATGTAGGCTTCTGCTTGTGCCCCCGACTTCTTGTCAGCATAAGCGCGACATTGTACAAGTGTTGTGCGGTCGCAACGACGCTCATATAGGGCCCAAGTGGGCCTCGACGTAGTTTGCAACGCAAGCTGTCGTGAGTGCAGCAGCTCACAGCCTAGCGATCTTATCTATCTATCTATCTATCTATTTTTTATCTATCTATCTATCTATCTCTCTTTCTTTCTATTTATAACATTTCCTTATAATCTATACAATGCTGGGTTGCCGTCAAGGAATTTAGACTAAGTTGCCATAATATGGTAAATCTGAGGGTTCTGTTACTATACTAATTCATTTTTAAGTTCCGCAACAGAAAGCCAGATTAGCTTGCTCGCAACATGTGCTGGCAACGCAGGAATCCACAGCCTGGTTTGGAACGGCCAGCGGTTCTGGACGATTGAAGAAGACGCTGCAGGACACACCTAATACACATTTGAGGTTTTTGAGCACTTCGAGTTGAAGGGTCTCAGAATTTGGGGTTTGGAGTTTGCAGATGTTGGACACTTGGGCTTTCGGAGTTTGGCAAGGACAGCTTGCTGGTTGTACTATACTTGTTGGACCTTCATATGCTTAGAAGTGGTGCTCTTATTTGGTGATGTGTGAAATTATGTGTTCTTCTTTGTGAGGCGCTCTGTGGGCAAACTGTCTGGCTTTGTGGTATTAAAGCAACCCTTACTCATCATTCTATGTGGTTACAACCCCCGACAGAATGCGTGCAACCCCTACAACCCTTACATAAGGATTGCTGAGAGAAAAGGAAGGCGAATGCGCGTCGACCATAGACAAGAATTTCACCTTGTGGTGATTTCGCGGATGGCTGTCTGTGACAGCCAGATTTATGTAATGAGCTTCATACATTGTCTGCAAAGCTCCACCTATGGAAGCCACTTGGGATGCGCGCAAAGCCTGGCCTGGTCTCGAATTCCATCGACCTTGAAACCGAATGAACCCCACATGATCGACGAGAGAACTTCAAGGAGCACCCAGATCCCTAAGCCCCCAATCCCCAAATACTCAATCCTTTAGACCCTGAGCGATGCAAGCGACAAAAGGTATCTAAAAACAAAAACAGCTTGAACCCAGATTTGGTAGTTTCCATGTCGTTCTCCTCATTTTTCATTTGATTCTCCATTATTGAGCTCATGCCTATGCCCTATAATGCCCCTATATATATCCTGGCTTATATATCCTTAAATCAGGGAACCTCATACAAATCCTGGACTACTACGTTTAATCCGTATCATAGCCTATATAACTCTGGTGGGAGCCCACATTTCTCTGCAGAAGCCCTGGGCGAGAGGAGGACTTCAACGTCAGGGCCGATCAGCTCTGAGCGAGTCCTTTTGCCACGGAGGTTTAGGGTTTAGGGTCTAACCTGGGCAGTCTGTGATGGGGTTCGTATTTCTATATATATATATATATGTGTCAGTATCTCACTGTCAATTACTGAGTGGAGGGCAGTACCCATGTTTTGTCCCAAGAACAAGGGCTGAAGCATGTGATGAGAGGAGCCAGCGTCAGAAAATCGATCCTGTTGTCCTTCTACCTAGGTCCTAGGCTACTTCTGGATAGATAGCTGAGCTGCGTCGGGTCCAAAGAGACCTCACCGGAAGATGAGACATTTCGGGTATCAGCTTCGGCAAATCCGCCCGCACACTGATGCTGCCAGAGAGTCAGACGAAGATTTCGTAACGATTGGAGCAAACTACTTTTCCAGACAAGCTTGTTTGGTCTAGGGGGTAAGGGGACTTGGTAAGTATACGTATTGTAGTTACACTTGGAAACAATACGATCCCAGCTATCCCCTTTGTTAAGCTATTTGGCAAGTCCCCTGACCCTGTAAGCAAACAGAGGATCGTTAACTGAAAGCTGCCAAGAGTGATTAAGGATCTCTTGGTATGGAACCCGAGGCTCTGCTTCCTGTGGCCTGTTTACATTTAACAGCCCTCTGTTATGATCAACATGTACGGCCCGGTAGGAAGCCGACTTTCGGCCTGACTGCCCGAATGTCAACAGCGGCTAGAAGACCAACAGGATTATATAGGGAACTACTTTAAAGCTTATTAAGGGGGATACTAGGAGTTTAGACTATGGCTCATAGAACCCTATACAATATTGGTAATTATTTAGAGCTGTAATTCAACGATGACAAGAGGTGCAACCAAGGGTTCTTCTTGGGGTTCTAGGTGTTCGTGCTCTGTACTTGGCGCCCAGATGGTTCCTACGGATGTTTTCTAGTTGATGTACACACTGCATAGGTACCTGGACCTTTTGGGCCAAGGTATGTTTTTTTACATATGAGCAGGTTTATCGCTGCCTTTCCTCAAGTTTAGAGCCCTGCAATGGGCGTAGAGGGGGTATGTACGTCCTTTTTGGAAGGCAGCCAGGGGATACATGTTGGGCACGGAAGTCGTCCCCTGTTTTTGTCCCAGACTAAGTCCCCAAGACCCGTCCAAGTGCACCCTCCCCTGCTCACATTCCGCTACTGGGCTCAAGGCAAAGCCTGTCAAGTTTTAGTGCATTAGAAAGGATGAGATTCAGGAAGGTGGACAGGTGGAAAAGATCTGTAGGGTCTAGGGCTGGGAAAGATGTAAGGTGTGATGAAAGGTGTTATATTTCATGTTTTCGCGGGCACATAGTCACGAAGTTGTCCTCGAAGCGCGTGCGGAAACAGAAACGTGAACCCTGCCTTGCGAAAGGCGGTTTCAAGGATTCATGTTGAATATCATTACACTTCATACTTGAGGTTTATTTGGGGTCCCAGTACTTCCTTGTTGGGGCGGGGCGTTTCCACGGTAAAGTGTGCAGTCCCATGCGCTGCAAGGACTTAGATCGTGAAAGCTACCTCCTAGTCTTTGGCTTCGAAGATTTCAGAATTTCAGTTTGAGTGTTTAATAATGGCTCACCTGGCACTCCTGCAGCAACTACCGCAGATCATCCTCTCCGATGCAGATGGGAGGCGCCCGTACGCCTATGCCTTTGAGTGATCATTTGCATGGGCTTCTGCGGGATACACGGAGCTTTATTTCGAGTAGCTGGGTTCAAGGGACAGCTCAAAGTTGTGAAAAAGGAGTGAGATCTTTTGTCCATCCTGAACTAGAACAAATATATCCCCTATATACCCTATTATACTATAGTAGTTTCCATTTTATTTTCCATTATCCCTATACAAACCCAATAGAACCCCAATATACAGACCGGCCGAGCCTGATTTTCCTCGACTGTTGGCAGGAGATATCCTCCAGGCACCTCTTGCAAAGGTCGGACCAGCAATGAGACGAATTTCTGTCCTCTGGCCTTCTCAAGATGATCTCCGCCTGTTCCCCAAATTAGGGATACCTTTGTGGGCATCCCCATTATAAGGACGGGGTCCCCCTATTCAGGGAAACTACCATATGCGTATGCAAAATCCCTAAGGAATACTGGTAAGTACATATTCTGGCTCTCCATTCTAGGAAGGCATAGATAGAAACATGGGTGGGGTTATTGGGATAATGGAGCATGAAATGGAAACTGCTATCTAGGGTTTAGGGTGTACGCTAAACGCTAATGTCCTGATGATGTTTGGGAGGGATGGGCATAGATTTCTTAAACCACTTGAAATGTAAGGGGTTGGTCCAGTATTGGGTCGATACTTGAGGCCTTGAAGTGCCCCTAAAGTAGATGGAATATGGGGGTATATGGGGATGTCATATACCAAAGCCATGTTCTACCTACTTAAGGGGGACTATATGCCCTTCAAGTATGGCTGTAGCTCCTATCCATAATAGCCGGTTTTAGCTCTCCCCATGCCGGCCTTTGAACCCCTCCAGCACATGACCTGATCCGGCTTCCTGCTGCTCGGCCCCGTAACCATCCCAAAATGAAGAAATGGAGAGCAAGGAACTGGATGAATGTTGTTTGTTCAACGTTCTTCATTTTTAGGACAATAGCATGCCAGCTCAAACGCAAGGGAGGTTTCTCGAAATAGCTTACATGATAATTCGTAGGGACTCCCATGATCTCCTTAGGGTGAGAGAGAGAGGGTCTTTAGGGTTTAGGGTTTACCCATACGCCCCTAAACCCAAATCCCTAAACCCTACACCCTAGGGTCCCTTAGAGACAGCCACTTTGAGAAGCCCACAGCTGCTCGCTGCTGAGGTGTGGACACATGTTTGAGCTCGGAGGTTCCTGACACCACCTATATGCACTGCAAGGATCATGGGTTTAGGGTTTAGGGTTAAGGGATGGGGGATTGGGGGCCTTCCCTTCAGGGTTTAGGGGTCTCAGGATGTAGGTTTAAAGTGGTTTTGGGCTTCAGATGTTTCAGGTTTAAGAGGATGGGGCTGGATAACGTGCAAAAGTGGGACGCGCCTGAGGCCCAAGAGCCCACATCCCCCACAACTACTATCCTGACATATTCCCCATAAATACACCTGTTATAGCATGCATACTCCCAGCAGCACCAGTAAGCAGCAAGACCTCAGGGGTGCCATGAGAGGATGTTTGTCTCTGCCACACCTGGCATCGCGAAACAGCCGATGTACTGATGTGCATATTCGGAATTGCATCCCTGATCGCTTGTCTCTTGGCATAAACAGGGCGAATGAAGGTTATTTAAGGTGGGGACGATAGTTAGGGGGACGGGGAACCCATGATACTACGGTCTCGCCAAGAGTGAGGTTTAGAGATTACCTTACACCCCTATATAACCCCAATATACCCTAAAGCCCTAAACCCCTAACCCCTAAAGCCCCTAGGGTTCTCTGATGGCTTGAGTTCTCTCTTGCTCTAGCAGTACAGGTCAGGCAAGGTCTAGAAAACTTCCAATTATAATCAGTAGCAAAAATAGTAATTGTAGTAGTTATATCACAAAATGGGGGGGCTAACGTCTAGGAGATGTGAGATACCCAGAAATCTGTTCTTGTTTCGTATCGCAAGCCAAGTATGCTCGGTTCAGCAAGGGTCCAGGCAGCTAAGGCCTCTTGGTGTTCTGCATTGACATGTCACGGAGGCGAATGTCTCGGACAGGAACGTGGCTCGGCCTGGGGCAAGATGATTCAGATCACATGAGCTACAGCTTAAGCTCCTTAAAGGGGGTTATATGGGGAATTATATAGGGGACTACCATACGGCTTATTAGGGGGGATGCTAGGAGTTAAGACTAGATAGCTCAAATTGTTTTGATATGACTTGGGAGCACGATGAGCCTTGTGACCTTGTGCAAGCCTAGCAGGCCGTCCTTCAATACCCTCATAATTGGGGGTTTCCCAAAATTAGAGGTCGTTTTCAAAGGAGTTATCGGGGTTATATAGAGGTCATATTGAGATATGGGGTTTAGGGTTTCCCAAAAATTAGGGGTACCCTTCTCGGAGTCCCCATAATAAGGGTTATCGTACACTGGGGTCTACATTGGGGTGCCCCTATTCTGGGAAACTACCTATTCACGTTCTTTTGCATACCCAAGGCCTTACTTAAGATTCTGTCTGAAGACCATCCGTTTTCAGACGTAAACTTGGTCCGACATCGATTGTCATTAGAGTTTGCATGCCTGACCCCAAGATCAATACAACGTCAGAATCCTAAACCCCTGAGGCCCTGAGGAGAGCTTGCGCTTCCTGTGTTCAGGCAGACAGCATGCCTGCGATGGTCCAATGTCTGCAACTTCTTCAACAGCACCAGGGCTGTGTTCTTCGAATTGCGTTGCTTCTTCTCGCTGGGCCTGGTTACAGTGCCCCTTAAGTAGATAGAATATGGCTTTGGGTATATTATAGTAAGATTCCCATATACCCCATATGCTATCCACTTAAGGGAGGCTATATGTCCCAGAAGATTTTTGTATCACGCGATCTGGAAGGCAGTCAGAAGGTAAGATTTCCTCTTATGTTTCAAGTGACATCCAGGTAACCAACTTTCCCCAAAAAGCGGGTGGATCCTGCTCATGGACGACATCTCAACAAAAAGATCTGAAGACCACCACTAAACCACTGTCTCCTCATTTTTTTAGTTTGGCAGGGAGCCGAGAGATGAGGTTACAAAATGTGGGGCTTATATGAGAGACTTCACTATTGGATTTTCAGGGTACAATGTAGAGAACCCTCATGTTCATCTGGAGATCCGGGCATAAAGATGCACACGTAGAAGTATGTGATTGTGTATCAGTCCTTTTTTTGCCGTCTCTCAGTAAGGGATTAGAATGGTCCCCTCCCCGGCAAAGGTAACCACCCCAAAAGAAAAGTTAAGAAACAGCTACGCTCCCCCCCCCCAGATTTTGAATCCCATTAGGACTTGTCAAGCTATCAAGCCCTATGGTCTTTATGAGCTTCTTAAACCGGGAGGGGGGGGGTACCTTGA